ATACATTATAACTAAACTAGCTACCTGGAACCTATATGAAAGTGCAGTATACGCAAAATACTGAACACGATACCTCTACAATTACATTCAACTTAAATAATGTAACTTGAATATCCTGAATGAAAATATTATGCACTTGACAATGCAAATAATACTTTCACATCCATAGTAACTAAACCTGATTATCATTTAGACATGTAATTGTATAATATATATTTTATATTAACACTAGCTTATAAATCGTGAAGGTAACTTAACAATCCGACCACTTCGCGTTGTTTTCACGGTTATCGGGTTGCTCGGGCCGGGTAACAACGACGTCAGCGGTGTGGACGGTGGTAACGGAAACCGTACATGCGCAGGTGCCACATCCGCTGCGTTGTCAGCGTTACTTTGGCGTGGCGTTGCTTCGTTACCATCACATTCCTTTAATACATATGCAGGCTTTAATCTGTCGATAGAAATATGTACCTGTCTATCGGGTAATTGAATTAGGTAAACTTTTGAGCCCCCTTTTTATCACGCGGTATGGACCGTCGTAGGGTGGTTTCAAAGGTTTACGTATTGAATCGTCCCTAACAAAGACATATTCACAGTTACGTAAGTCCTTGTGCACAAAAAGACTCCCGGTAGACGTAAGTTTCGTCCGAACGTTAACTCGGCGGCGCTAACCCCTGAGTCACTGCGGGCGGCCGCGCGAAGCCCAAGTAATACTGTGGGTAGCTCTTCCACCCAGGACCCATGTGACAGGCGAGCTGAAAGTGCTGTTTTTAAAGAACGATGCCAACGTTCAACTGCGCCATTGCTTTGCGGATGATAAGGAGTAGTTCGAATTCTATTAACCCCCAACATTTTTAACAGCTGGTTAAAAAGACTACTCTCAAACTGGCGACCTTGGTCGCTAGTTAACTTTATCGGGCAACCGTAACGACAAATCCAACCTTCATATAAATGTTTGGCAACAGTTTCTGCCGTAATGTCTCGTAACGGAAAAGCTTCAGGCCACCTGGTCCTCCTATCGATTATCGTGAGTAAGTATCTATAACCATCTGGTGAGATCTCAAGAGGGCCAACGATATCGAAAAAAAGAGTCAGACGCAGTGAGCACGTTAACAGGCGGCACGTTCTGTGGCGTTGGCGGAAACGGCACACTCATGTTACTATATAAATTGTCCTTCCGATCACAACCACGCGAATATTGCCCACTACTGCATTAACATCACATAGACCACTTCGGTCATCTTGATCACGTCGGGGTCACCAGTTTAGGAGCTGACTCCATATGGGTGCCTATTGGTGACCATAATGAAAGATTAAATCTTTTACTAATATATTTATTATAGCGGAACGTGCCATACAGTTGGCGGGCAACTAGTGACTGGTTGAAAAAATCTTATTCACTACATAATATAGTTACAATACAACATTGCGAAGTTTACATGTGTGTGCGCAGCACACCTACAGAATTAATGGGTGCCGATAAATAGTCACAACTATGCAATAAAGTAAAAAAATTACGGTTGCCCATCCCTGGAACTTCCCGCTAATTTCAAATGCATAGCGGTCAAAACTATACCTATTTGAAAAAAGTACCACTTTCGAAATTTTTCGTTAACGATATCCCTTCAACGCATTAACCGATTTTGATGCGGGTTACAATTTTTTGAAAATTTTACTTTTGAGATTTCTCAAAGTCTACTGGTTCGAGTCGGTTCAAATGTTATAGAAGGTCTAAGTTTGAGGAATCCCTTTCGTACGCTGCCAAGTTCGTTCAAATCGATCAAGCCATTCAAAAGTTATGAAAGGGTTAATAACATAATAAAGCAATTTTGTTGTTTGCGCCACTAAAAAAATGTAATCTTAACCGATAGCCCATACTGGTTTAAGTATTCTTAAATTTGTTGCCTTCGTGAAAACAAAAAAACAACATATCAAGAGGAATTATATATACATATAATATGTTGAGAACTCGTAGTAAGTACTTAATAGAAGCCTGCTACAGATCGATAAAAATGAAGCTGAGAATAGTTTAGGTAATAACGATGAACATTTCTTTGAGTTCGTAAATAATAAAAAATCAAGTAAAGGTATCCTTGAATCTATGACTCATAGAATTAACACTGCTACAGATCCCTAAGGAATCTGTGAACTATTTTCAGCGTATTTTGCTTTCGTTTATGGAAAACTTGACAATTTTTAGCCCCGTTGAATATACCAGATAGGTCTACTCTTACACTATCAAATGTAGCCATTAACAGAGATAAATTATAAGAAAGATTAAAACACTATTATATATATATTATTTGTTAAGGCGTGTTGCGAAGGATTTAATTTGCCATTATTGACATTTTTAAAAAGTGTATTAAGAGTGGCATATTCGCTTCTGTTTGGAAAAACGCCTATGTATATATGTATACTAATATATTAGTATATATATATATATATATATATATATATATATATATATATATATATACTAATTCATAAGTCTGGTGAGAAAAAAGTGAAATCTATACGCCAATTAGTATCTTATACTGTATAGCTATTTTTTTTAAATCGCTTGGTTATATTTACAACCACGTGAAACAAAGCATCTCAAATTTACAACATGGTTTTGTCACTGGTATATCAACTGTTAGTAACCAACTTGTTTACAAATTACATCTGTCAAGCACTTGCTGCCCAAAGCCAAGTAGACTTGATTTGCACTGACTTTTCAAAGGCGTTTGACAAAGTCAACCATAGAATACTCTTGGCATCATACGGAAAACATAGCAATTTGTTGCGTTGGATAATTTCATATCTTTCTCCCCAGATCGTCTGATCGTCCCAATAAAAGATTTTCTTGCCGAACCATTACACGTGACATCCGAGGTTCCTCAAGGGTCCCATCTCGGCCTTCTGTTGTTTATTAAATTTATTAATGACTTGGTCACCAAACACACACAAGTAAAAGTTTACCATACGCAATAATATGAAAGTTTTCCGAATAATCAATGTTAATGTCTGCCCCTTGTTGCAAAGCGACCTTAAAAATATTCATACCTGATTTCTCATATTAAAATGTATCTGAATGTAGCTAAATGTTTTTGTAACTTTCACAACTAAGAAAACTCGACTACAGTGTACATATCATGTCAATGATCAACCTTTGTTTAAAAGAAATGTTGTTAAAGATTTGGACGTTTTCTTTGACTCAAAAATAAATTTTAAGCAACACTTTAATCACTTAACGCAACGTGGTTATCGATTAGTTAATTGTGTTACGCAAGTTATGAAGGAATTCAAAAGACTCCTTAGTCTAATATATCTTTTTCACACTCTAGTGACTATTATGATGTACATATAATAGCTAATATTGAACGAGTTCAGAAATGTTTCCTGCGAGGTCTATGTCGTAAACATGGATTGATGCATCAGTTGCCGTCGTATAATGAAAAGGCGAATTACTTTGGAGTTATGAAATTAGATAAACATAGAAAACTTCTGAGATTATTTTATTTACTTTCACAAAATTATTGACTCCTCCATCGACTGTCCCGAACTTCCTAATTTAATTAATTATGACAGTCGATATCGTCTGCGTAATCCGCATATCCTTTGCCTTGATGTTTACTTATGTACACCACGTCTTTATTTAATCCGGCCATTAGAAATTATCGAAATTTTAACGAACTGAGACATCGTAACGCTGATATGGACATTTTTTTACATTCTAACATTTCACAATTTAAAAGATCTGTAACTGCTACGTTAATTATGTAAATTTCACGAATTTCATTAAATAAGTTTTTTTTTAACTGACACAGATAAGTATAGTACTATTTTTAATATTTATTGTCATATTTTGTTTTGCTGTGCACGCTTTATTGGATTATAGACTAGTTATAATAATAATTGCTACATAATATAGTTTGTGTATTATTTTCAATCTGTTTGTAAGCCTTATTACTAAAATAAAATAAAAGTAAAACATACAAACACACACACACACACACACACACACACACACACACACACACACTCACACACACACTCACACCCACATACACACACACACATACAGACACAGAGACACACACACACACACACACACACACACACACACACACACACACACACGCACACACAACACACACACACACACACACACACACACACACACACACACGCCAACACACACACACAAACACACACATACAGACATCGTGCCTTCCGCGTATAAATAGCTAGAACGGCTTCCTAGGATGTCAAAACTGGGGATCTGATGAGAACTCGATTTTTGAAAGTTGGGGCGGAACCAATGACTTCCCGATTTTTTTTACATCATTGATTTTCGTAACGGGAAGTTAAAATTGATACCAATTACAATGACAATGATCATGTAGTCAATTCAGTCCCTGAACAATTTATAATTTACGACAGTAAGTGTACGAAGTGACGACAGTGACATTGAGGATGAGGAACAAACCCCCTGCACCAGCTCTGCTACTTTTGCTAGATTTGGTTTTATGCCAGGAGTAACACTTTTACAAAGTAATAGTGACAACGACGCCCCATAATATTGTAATGACAATGTTTGATTTTATAATAAATTTCTTTATCACATCATATATTTCTTGAATTCTTCTTCTTAACTTTCATTAAAATAAACTTTTTTTACCACCGACCATTTTTAATTGCACGAAAGTGTATATGCGCAAACTTTCCTCCACTACGTTAAAACCTTGCCAAGTTAGTTGCCGTATACGGGGGTTTTCAACCGCAGCTTTTTATTTTGTAGCTGTTATTAGGAAGACGCTGTAACCCATCTCCTGGTTGTCTCCTTTTGTAAATAAAAGTACATTTTTTTATAAAACTGAAACTGAATAATTTGACCTGTGCTTGTGGTGCTAGACGTGGTGGGATATTATAGTCTGTAATGGAGCGGATGGACTGACCAGCACTCGCAGCTATACGTGGTGGGGTAGTGGTAGGGCGGGCGGGGCCCTCTGCCCGTGTCACAGGCGCAGCGCCAGCAGCAGCAGCGACAGCAGCAGCAGCGACGCGCCGCTCACACCCGCGCGGCTCGACCGTGACAGGATGCCTTTCCCTGCAACCACACGGCACAGCCTCACCGATCAATTCATTCGTTGCAACGAGCAGACGTCGATTCAAACTTACATTGGCCGCTATAAAGTATTATATATAATATATTGGTAAATAATCATATGCCTGTTTTGTTGTCTATTTGTCGTCGACGTGATAACCGATCATAAGATCTCAGTAAGGATTAGGATTAGTCGAAAATTATTTAAGTATTCCTCGGACTGTGCCCATTTCCACCGCTATATCTCTTAAATAAAATCCCCGAACGAACGCTTTACAGCACTCATGGTCCCGCCCGTGACCATGAGTGCTGTAAAGCGTTCGAAACGTCGGGTATTTAAAAAGTTAAATATACGCGATAAATTCCGTAAAAACTAGTATTATTTCAATGTGTAGTGTTCGCGTAAATATAAGAAATCATCCCGAAGACAGTTTAAATACTTATTTATTAAGTATACACATTATTTATTTATTATAAGTTAGAAGTAATGAGGAGTCAACAATTAATTGACGTCGGTGATGTGCAGTGCAAAGATTATGTAAGTCAATGTATACTACCATACTTATACATTGCGTACTGAGTTACACCAAATTCTCCGTAACTTCTTTAGACGACTGTAAAGAGTATATATATATAGTAAGATATATGGGTCGACTGCGTGCGCACGAGAACACTAGTTAAGATACTCTATGGACTAGGTCTTTGTTTTGTAATACATTTGACAATAAGCAGTGATTTTTAAAGTGACTAAGAAAACGCTCATTATTTAGTTTATTATCGCGATTTGAACTTTAAACAGTAACGGTCGTAAATGAAAATACAACTGCGTGGCATATTCTAGTATTACAGTATCTACGACACCTACCTACCCGCGCGATTCACAACTGTGACACAAATTGTTTCTGAATTGACGATTTAGTAGTAATAGTAATGGTGCTTAATATAACGCATCCAAAGAAGTAGTCACCATGGCGCTATTGCGCTATGGCGCTTTGGCGCTATCAAGTATTATTAACTAGCGGCAATTATTTCTAGCAGCAGCGCTGTTGGGAGAGGACATGTAACGCAAAGATCTCGTAGCGCGCTGTTCATGGCGCGCGAACTAATTTAATGTTAGACGTTGTTTAGTTAGTGTATACTGTATATTTATAAATGATCAAAGGACACAGTTGTGATTAAAGAAGCCTAACTAATGTTTTTAAATGTAATTAAAATATAGATACAAAAGTGTATATAATAGTTTATGTAAATAATTGATTTTATAAATACAATAAATAAACTTTTAAATACACCTTTATTTGATTTATAATTTATATTAAGATCAAAATAACGTTTACATCAATTATAATAAAAATAATTAATTTTATTTCGATTCTAAAAATGAAATTAATTCTATTTTAAATAGTACATAACTTAAAAATATTTTTAGGATTATAGAAAGTAGTAAGCCTGAAAAGTATGAAAACGCGTGCATTGGTTTTTCTTTACCGCTTTATTTTATTTTAGACTAAAATTCGACTTATTACGAAATAATGTTCTTATATAGCACGCAATCTATCCAATGAACGACATGTAATGTAACTGGCTAAGAGATATAACGTTCTGTAAAACTTAACGCGCCTACCGGTCTCCTACACGCTTTCTTACAAATAGCGCGCTATAACATAGCGTATTTAATAGCGTTCTAGAAATTTATAGTTTATAGTCTGTAGCGTGCTATTGATTTATAGTCGTTTTGAACAACTTTAAGTAATAGTATTATACACAGTGGGATAGACGACTTTTTCGAGGTTATATTTACTAAATAAAATTATTTTTGATTTTAGAGCTACTGAGCAGTTTGGCAGCATACTTAAACCGTCGACAACTACTAAGTTCATTTCATCCTAGTAGCTACTCTAGCACTGTTGTGGAGAGTTTATGAACTGTTATCTACTGCTTACAGATGGCCACTTTTTCAACTATTCTACTATGGGAGTTGGTACTCCTTACTTCTACACTCCATAGTCTAGTAGTATACGTAGAAGTCTTTGTCGGTCTAGTAGTAAACACAGAAGTCTTTGGCGGCCTAGTAGTAAACACAGAAGTCTTTGTCGATCAAATAGTATACATAGAAGTCTTTGTAGATTTAGTAGTATAGTGCAGTGTGCCGTACTCACAGCGCTGCGCCAGCTGCTTGTAGCAGCAGCAGTCTCGCAGGCGCACGTACTGCACGCAGTCATGAGCGAGTGGGCGGCAGCGGCTGGGCCCTAGATAGCAGGTGTGCGGCAGCCAGGGGAACGGCTCGCGCAGGAAACGCCGCTCGCAGCAGCAGTGGTCCGCCAGCACGCGCGTCTCGCAGTACTCCATCTCGCGGCGACTACAGCTGCCGCAGCCTATCTGCGTGCTGGGTACTGGAATACGACACGACGTATCTTTTATTTTTGTTTCTTAAACAAAAACGTTACCCCCCACCCTTCCCCTAACTTTCATTAAGCCAAAATAGTTTGTTAAGAGCTGTTATACTACTAATGAATACATGATTGCTAATAACCTCTGGGAATGAGGTGATCGCTACCATGCTGATATACATGTGTAAAACAATATGTAAATTTATTATATTTAAAAAAAGATTTCCGCTGGGTTCTTCAAAAGTTTGGTTCCCGGAACAATCATTTGTGAGCAAAACAAGTACTCGTTCAATGCAGGATTCGAAGGCGGTCTCTGCATGATCATGTGCTAGCATTGAATATGATACACGAGAGATTTTGTAAAGGATTATAATATATATTAAGATTTATTGCGTTCCTTAAGCGCAAAGCGCGTAGGTATGTTCTATTAGCGCCTAAAAATCAAGAATCCGACTTTTCGTTGCATGAAATCGTATCCAACAATCATATTGAACATGTAAATGATATAAAAAGCACATTAACAGAAAGATAAATGATCGTTGAAGTTATTTTTTTTAAATCGATTAATTGCTATTTTTACACTAAAAAAAGTGGTTTTAGTGGATTGTGGTGTAGATTTATCAAGTTCGCACGGAGGGGTAGACACGATAACTTTTGAAAATATCGATTGTTCAACTCAATCTATTGATTAATCTCTTTATCTACCACGTGGGAAGCCTTTGCTTGGATTGTTTAATTTTGTTTAGATATAACTAATTTTTTCGACTGAGAAAATCCGAAATTTTCGGTGTTTGCGCAGCCGTGTAATAATATATTTTACTAAATACAGATACACTTTGACTCACTGCGGGCTTGGCCGCCGTCATGATTGGATAACTGTATCGTTTGTTTACAGCGGTTCGTGATAAAAAATATCGATCGCTGTAGAAATACAAAGTACTCCAAAAAACAAATTTGATACATACTTGACCAAGATAAGGTATTATTATTATTATTTTTATAATCACTGTGTTTTTATACAATATTCTGTGTCTCTAAAAGTACGTAGGATTTATATATAAATATACCTAAACGTCTTGGACTTTATGGAGTGACGTGAAGGTGTACTTCGGTATCCGCTACTGGAAATTCTCGACGAGTAGAACTAGGTGTGGCGAGATTGTACTCGTTATGTTAGTTATGATGATACCTTACCCCCGGACTTAATGGAGTGATCTGGAGGTATACTTCGATGAATGCAACTGGAACTCTTCGAAGAGTAGTAATAGTAATAGGTGTGCTGAGCTTAGGCTTGTTTTGTTAGTTATGATGTGACCTTACCTCCGAACAGTGGCGGATTATCCTTAAGGCAAACTAGGCACGTGCTTAGGGGCAAGGTTAAAAAGGGACACGCGGGAGTTTTTAAATTAAAAAAAAAAGATCGAATCGAACTACGCAGATAAGATTAGTAGTGAAAACTTGTGTGTATTACGCATAACACGAGCGCTTAAGGCATGCACATTTAGATTTACCAAAAGTAATTTTATTACCTATAATTTTATATGACTACACTATTGAAATAATACTAGTTTTTACGGAATTTATCGCGTATATTTAACTTTTTAAATACCCATTTCGAACTTGAACATCTCAGTCCCGCCTGTGACCATGAGTGCTGTAAAGCGTTGGAAATATAGGTATAGTCTTATTGCAAACTATTTTAAAATTAAGCCGTAAAAGTATATCTATTAAGTATATGTACTTTAAAGAGACACTTTTAACAGTATTTTACTGTCGCCCGGTCAGATACGACTTAGAGAACTTTAAGGAAAGAACCAATTCTGTTCTAAAAGACCGGTAACGCACCTGGTATTCCTCTGGTGTTGTAGATGTTCGTGGGCGGCGGTGATCACTTCTTAGGTATATATCCGTATGCTAGTTAGCTTCCTATTTTATTAAAATAACAGCAAAAAAAAAACTTAGAGTTGAAGAGCGACTCTCAGGTCTTGAATATGATGAGTTTACATAGAATGGTAGTGTGACAAATTGTGTTAATCTTATCCCTTACAAACCAGAGATATGAAAAAATGATCAAGTACAAAATTTAAAGGACGCGTCCTACCTTAGATTGCTCTTTTAGAAATGAGGAGGCTTGCCTAGGAGTGGCCATTGATAGACCTTTGAAATTTAGACTTAAATATGGTGTCATTTGAGCATGGGACTCACAATAGAGTTTTTAGTCCCATACCCGCTGTTATGATAACCACGTTTTAGTTATCATTTTTATAGAATAATTACAAGAGCACACAGCCCACCTGACGGTAAATGAATACTGTGACCCATAGACATCCACATCTATTCTCGATTAAGAGTCAAAATGTAGATCCGTTGTCACATCTGAGGGCCAAGATGGAATGCCTCATTTCCAGTAAAAAGGGCCTCCGGTTCTCACAACTCACCATACAAAATACAGCAGCATTAAGGTGCTATTTGACGCTGGTATTCTGAGAAAGCATGGTCCTTCCCCGGTCGAGTCGACCCATCTATGCTACAACCATAAAATAGCTGTAGCATGAATCTACCTTGTAAAAAAGCTTGATTTATTTAATTAATTTTACCCTCACTTCCGGGAATCTGTATAATATAAAATTTGTAGACATATTAAGAAGCAATAACAATACCATAATTTAATTATCTAGTATTCACGCTTGGAACATCACTGCTCTTGGTTAGTGCAGGTTGCTTGTGATTTTTTTGAAATAATAATTTAATTTTAAAATAACCCAATACGCCTTTAAGTGGCCTTAAATATTGTTGACAAGACAAAATTATATAATATTACGCAGCTCATTGCGTATTCCGTAGTCTGCTTTGATGTCAGGCATCTTTTCCATTACACGGTTGTTCAAACGTACGGTGTGTAAGCCGTACGGTTGAAAAAACGTGCTAGCTTGTACATGATACGGCAAAATCACCGCGCGAGACATTGGTAAGTACTGGCTAGTAGCGCTTTTTACTCGGGCTGTGTAGGACGTGCTGCGTCATGAATTTTCTTACGAAAAAAAAGATTATAGTTGCTTATTACATATATAGGAAAAAGAAAATAGAAAAAAAAAGGGAAGTAAGGTTTTGGATACATCCGATTTTAGAAAAAAGGGAGGAATATGGCGCGTTTCATACACTTGTCAAGAATCAATTGAGAGAAGATGAAGACAAGTTTTACAATTATTTTAGAATGCAGAAAACTACATTCGACAACTTGCTCCAAAAAATTATCCCAGGAACTAAAACATCAAGATACTTTTATGCGAGAGAGTATATCGCCCGCAGAAAGATTGGCTGTAACTCTGAGGTAAGTAGGTACAAAATTAAATGACATATTTTAGTTTAAAATTGTTTATTGCACACAAACAAAATTATTACATGTAATTGAATTTTAATAATTATTAATTTAAGAACAAGTAAATCAAAAAATACACTACGCTGAAAATGCTACTCAAGTGCGGTACTAAAATCGAATTCGTCTTCAATAGAAACTTGAGAATCTGCCGAGATACTTTCCGCATTTACACTATGTACAGATAATTGTGATTCGGGTCGGTAGTGGATTGGCTCTAAACCAGAACCGTGTCCAAAATCATGAGAAGACGTCTGTGGACGACTTATTCCATAGCTCGATCTAGCAGCTGTAGAATATCCATATGTTGACGATTGCGCATTTGAGGATGCTGTACCACTTAAATATCCTTGATGGCCTTGATCCCATTGGTTTCTTGATGTAGGTATATACTGAGTACACTGTCTTTGTTGAATATTTTTAATTATTGAAATTACTTGAAACTGAAAGTCTATCATATTTTCATCACTGAACTTGTCAACTGTATCAGCGATTCCCATAAAAAAAGTTCATACTACGGCTTTTCTTTTTCTCATCTCGTTCTGCTGAATCCATAAACTTCATAAACCTAATGTCAACTTCACTTAGTTCATTTTTTCTTTTTTTTTAGCCCTTTGCGTCTCACTCCGTTCAGTGTATCCCGAGCTTGATTGATTCGGGACTGCACTATCAAAATTTTCATTACTGAGGCTAGAATCATGAACATGTTCAGTCATGTTAGAATCGGTCTTGCGATGCTCAACATTTTTTTTAGGAACATCATTTCATCATAGAACATATATTTTCTTATTTTTTTTTTGCTGAAGAACCAGACTTACATTCATTAATTTTTTTGTCATATTTTATCCAGCTATCTTTCATATTGGTCCACTTCTTCATCACCATTTGCCCTGAAAATAAATAAATAATAATTATTAAATTCAAAATTTATGAAAACCCCCGACCTAAACTGAATCGACCCCGACCTAAAATGGGGTTTTAGTATTTGAACCTGAACCGTTTTGTTTTATATTTCAGGTATCTAGCAACAGGAGATACCTTTACTGACCTATACTACAGCTATAGAATTGGAATAAAAACCATAAGTTGCATCGTACGTGAAGTATGCCACTACATTTGGTTAGAACTGTATAAAGAATATATGAAAATGCCATCTAAAGAACACTGGCTACACATTGCAAGCAAATTTCAAGAATCTTCCAACTTCCCGCTGTGCTTAGGAGCGGTCGATGGAAAACACATCAGACTTATTAAGCCAATTGATAGTGGCTCGATGTTTTTAAATTACAAACATTTTTTTTTCTATAGTTTTGATGGCAGTAGTAGATAGCGATTACAACTTTATATTTGTTGACGTTGGCGCCTACGGAAAGGAGTGTGATTCCAGTGTGTTTAAAGAGACCCCATTTTGGAAAAATTTAACAAACAACGGATTAAATCTACCCGATGCAACACGTTTGCCTGGAATTGACTACCATATGTGTTCGTTGCGGACGAAGCCTTTGCTTTGCATTATCACTTGCTTCGTCCATTTGGTGGTCATCAGCTTGATCAATTAAAACGTACATTTAACTACAGACTCACAAGAGCGCGAAGATTTGTTGAATGTGCGTTTGGCATTTTATCC